ACCACTCAGTTAATCTCATCAGGGGACTAATTCACTGATTGGGTTAAGGCTCTTATAGCCCAATCATTTCATCTCTAAACCTTTCTGCGTTGTCTCCCAATGAGTTTTTGGGGGACATCTCACATCCAAATCAAAACAATTTCCCTGTCCTATTTTCTTGTTCCTTTTTTTTCTGGAAAACTTTTTTTGGTCTGCTGATATCATCCTTGAAGGATATTAAAAAGAACTTTATAAAATATTTTTCGCCATAGTTTTAAGCTCGGGTAGAATAATATTTTTCTTTTTTGCCACAGTTATAATATTTTCTTTGGCTTTTTTTATTACAACATGACTGCAGTGACTCCAAGAGAATCCTCTTTCTTGAATTCTAAAATTTTGTGAGGTTATTTAAAAGAATTTTCAATTTGTCTGGCTACATCTGCCTTAGTAGAATAAAAATATTTTAAATAAGAAAAAACCTGGTTATTTTGAGGATTTAACGAATGTAGATAATGAAAAGTAAAAAATCATTTAATATGACTTGTTACATAAGTAGAATGAAGAGAAGTAGAGAAAATTGTAAAAATTTTCCAGATTTAGAGGCAAACCTGGGAATCTATCTGAAGAGTACATGCTGTTAGAATAAGTGATACTCTCATGAGAAACGTCTGAACATTTCATGATTTTGGATATCTGTGAGCAGATTTGACCAAGTAAATAAGATCCACACAAGAAGTAATCTGGAATTGATAAAGAATAAACTAGTTGATTTGATTTGTCTTTTTCATGTTAAAATTCATGGATGACATAAAACTAGAATAGATGTTTTCTTTTGCCTTTAGTTTTGTGTGCTTTGGGTATTGTCATTATTCTTAAAAGAAAGAATGCAGACAGTTCTGTAGTGATGTTCTAGAGGGCCCCCTTGCCACGGACCTTTTGCCAGGCCACACTGTAAAATACAGGTTTTTTTTCTGTAATTATGTACTTTGTTCTTTACTACGCAATAGACTTTTTCCTTATAATTCTATAAAGTAATTTTTGGGGGAGGGTACTGGGGATTGAACTTAGGGGCACTTGACCACTAAGCCACATCCCCAACTCTGTTTTTTAATGTTTTATTTAGAGATTTATTTATACTGGGCAAAGGGTAGGGAGGGTAGAGAGGGTGCATGGGTGCAGGAAATATGGTGGAATGAGATGGGCATCCTAGGTACATGTATGACTGTACATATGGTGCAACGCTACATCGTGTACAACCATAGAAATGTAAAGTTGTGCTGCAATTGTGTACAATGAATCAAAATGCATTCTGTTGTCATATATACCTAATTAAAATAAATTGATTAATTAAAAAAACCTAATTTATGCAGAAAAGTGTTTTAGTGGTGGTGGGGAGAGGAATATTTTGACTAATGTTGAATCATAACAGGACAAGACAAACATGACATGGGCAAGGGCAAGAGTGAGAAAGCAAGGAAAAGTTCAAGGTTAAGATCTGTAGGAGTCAAGGAAGCATGGACATGAAATTGCTGTAGATGTTTTCCTTTCCTTTTCTTTTTACTTATTCAAATGCTCTAGTATTACTTATTCATTCAACATAAATTAATCCAAATCTTTATTTTTTTTTATTCCTGTCACATTACTTACCTGATAGTATGCTCTCACTGTCCAATGTGTGGGAGGAAAGGGTAATGAAGAAGAGATGGTCATAGATAAAAAGAGGATGCTCAGAATAACATTTGGTCTTCCCTTTCTTCCCAATCCAGTCAGCAAATTCCAGGCAGAGCATTGCTGACTGATTACTAAGAGAGAGTCAATATATTTCACGAACTATGCTAACTAATTCACTTATGTAAGAAGAGACTATACGGCCCAAATAACATCAATTTTAAAAAGCTACAAAACCTGATATGAACCGTCAGTTCATTGTGCTTTTTCTTGAGGAGAACTTTTTTCAAAGGATATAACCTGTGATGAAGCAAAAGTATTCTTGGATTCTTCCAGAAAGTTTGTTATCTTCATGTCCTAAACTTGCAACCATGCCTTCCACTATTAGGAAGCCTATGGAGTTCCAGATGCCTGTCCTGCACCTGCCTGCTAACCCTCTAAGCATGGTGGATAGAATTTCACTAATTCTGATTAAATGTTTATGATTGTTCAACTTTGGGGCTTTTAACATAGTAAGTTTGTCATGGTCCCTGTTCAGACTTTGCATCCTGTTTTAATAACCTGTACCCTTAATAACTGGCTAGGTTGATTGTGAGGAAGTTTTTTTAATGACTCATCATTTTACAATTCTATAGCAGGTTAATGGTTTTAGAAAATGTTCTTTTACTTAGTAACCTAATTGCAATTGCTATAGGGATTTTGCTGGAGTGTCTATGGGGAGGTCATATGCATAGATTTCTCAAATTCTGTAGTGTGGAGTGATAAAACATTAATCCATGAGTATTTGCACATTTTTCTTGGTCCTCTATTTACCAGGTGTCCTCCCCACTTCCAGTTTGCATGTATTGAAGAACTTAGAGGAAAGCCATACAGTGAATACATTTTTTTTAGTCAGATATGAGTTCAAATCCTAGCTTTTCTATTTACTGGGAGTAGCTGGTGATCCAGGAAAAGATATATAATCTTTCTAAACCTCAATGACCTCATCCATAAACCTGAAAATAATAGCACTGACTTCCGAGGAGTTATATACATATTAAAATATGTGCTTCAGACATTGTATAACACTTAAGAAACATTGAGAACTATTAAAAATAAGAGTCTAAATTTCACTAAATGTGATACATGGAAATCCACTATTGTCTAGATATTTTGCCACTGCAAAACAGATTGAAGTGGTGTAAAATGGATATTATTGATAGCAGACTTAGACTATTGAGAAATTGTGGGGCTTTATTTCCCCCCTCAGAGATGCCAATTTTTTCCTAAAACTTTCTTGACAAGTGTGTTATCAATGAGTGCTCTTGCATGTCAGAGATAGGACAGGGATTGGTTGCTGACTTTGTCATGGAGATAAAGATAGAAGACTGTAGTCGGCTTACTATGAAAGGACTAAAATCAGTGTGTACATGCCAAAGGAAAAGTAATTAATGTGAAATTTCAGTGACACAGAAGAAAAATATTTGCTAAGACAGACTTAACGTTGTGGGTCTACCACATGAGATTTTCCACCAGCCAAAGTAAATTAATCTGGAAGGGAACAGGGAACTCAAGCTTTTAACTTGATTAGTGATATGTAATAATTAGACAATTCTAAAATGTGTAGTTTTTCTTTCTGGAAAAGCCATTAATATTATAGTATCATAAAATTTATTTTACAACATTAACTTCAGACTGAAAATTTTAGAAAGAACTAAATACAAAATTGATACTAAGTAGATTCCATTTTCTGACTGTTTGCAAATATAATTGTGTTTAGTAAATACCTATAATAGACAATTATGCATTTGTTCTTTCTTAGACGTGTCCTTATATTATGAGGCCTATAAAAGAGGACTCAGGGAGGATGAGGCACAAATACACAATATAGTCACATACAAATACTGTGCATGACTAAGGCTGTAATTAAGTTTAACCATTATCACCTCACTTCTTGTGCTTTGGGAACTCTTGTCTGGTATTTCTATTAACTCTTGACCTAAATTAAAGTTGTCCAATTAATATTTGATTCATCATCTCAAAGAGCCTGAAGATCTTATAGAGAAAATTACTTCAGATAAAAATAACTCACATGCGTTGTAGGGAATCATAATTCAGTTTGGGAAGCCATGTGTCTGAATTGTGATGTGGAATAGGTCTTGAGTTAATTTTGAAACTCTGTTTATCACCTCATTTTTTCTCATCTTCTCCTCCCCCTCCTCCTCCCTCTCTTCGCCCTTCTATCCCTCCTCTTCTACTTCCTCCTCCTTCTTCTGGCTTAAGTTAGCCCACTCTGCCCAGAAACAAGCTGTGATGAAATACAGTAGGTCTTCTCTACAGTGGTTTGGCCTCCATTATATTCTTTTTTCACCAAGGAAGCACGAAAGAGATTCTAAAATTGAGAACCAATCACTGAGTGAACCAAAAACAAGATGCCGCTTCTTCAGATTATATTACAGTAGAATAAAATAGACATTATTATTGCTGTGTGAATATATACATGACTGCATGACCAATGTGATTCTGCAACCTGTACACTCAGAAAAATAAGAAATTATATCCCATCTGATATGATATGTCAAGGTCATTGTACTGTCACGTGTAACTAATTAAAACAAATTAAAAAAATTAAAAAACCACACACAAAAAAATAAAATTAGTGTGCTGTAGAAAGTTCACACATGCATAGAAGAGTCTGTTTATTATTAGAGTTCAATCCAAAAAAAGGAACATAAATATAAATTTCAAGATTCATTGAAAGAATTGAAAATTCACTATCTGAAAGGAAACATTGCTGTGTTTATTTTTCTGTTATAAACCTAATGTTTTAAAATAATTTCCTTACATATGGCAGGGTTCATAAAAGGAATTTACTTTTAGATAGCAAAGTCCTTCATTTTATCTGGAATGAATAGTGAAAATCTTGTTTAGTTGTTCATACCACGAGTCTTAAATAAGCCCATGTGCTAAACTACTATATTTAAGGGCTTACAGAAATTTTGTAGTACAGTCCCAGGATGTTAGAACACTCTTCATGGCACTTGGAGTGATAACCTTTGAGCTCAGTATGTTTGTTGTAAAGGGGTTGGCTGGGTTCATATACCATCTATAAAGCTTAGTTCATGTTGATCATGATCGTGATCTTTTGGCCTGAGATGTTTGTCAGTTTAGAGTCATGTTTTCACTTTTTCCTGAAGACCAAGCATTTTTCTTAAGATTGTAATAACATATTCATTAAAGTGATAAGGAAGCTGTGACTGATCTGTTTTTCATCATTGTAAAGCTGCCGTATGTTTCTAAAAGTATTTTGACAAAAATATTTTTGGTGGTGATAAAAAAAAAGCTTATCTTTCTTTTTTTTAAATATGTTGTAGGTGGGAATGAGATCCCGAAACCAAGGTGGCGAAAGTTCATCTAACGGGCATATCTCCTGCCCCAAGTCCTCCATCATCAGCAATGCTGATGATAAGAGTCTCTCAGAAGATGCAAAAAAGAAGAACAAATCAAAGAGGAAGGAGGATGATGTCATGGCTTCAGGAACTGTCAAACGACACCTAAAACCATCTGGAGAAAATGAACGAAAGCCTAAGAAATCTCTGGAGTTATCCAAAGAAGATCTCATCCAGCTACTCAGCATAATGGAAGGGGAGTTGCAGGTAGAGCCAAACTTAGTCAACTATTGTTTTTAGTTTCTAAGCTATAAGAGTATAAGTCAATGGCCCTCACTGGACTCTGAGCTTCCTGGGAAAGGAGAAACATCTTCCTCGTTCATTTCCAAATCCCAGTGTGTGGCACAAGTTTTAACTGAATAACTATTTGTTCAGTGAATGATAAATGTGAAGGTCCTGATTCCAACTTCAGACTTCTCTAGAAGCAAAAAATTTCTTGATGATTTTGGTAAAAAATTAATACAGATTTTGTCACTTAGTAAGCAATTGATTAGATTATCTAATTTAGACATTGTGGTTGAAAATGTAGAAAAGCCATGATTATTAGAAGGGAGTGTTAAGATCAATGATTACTTTTGCTTTTTTTTTTTTTTTTCTGGAAGATTGAGTAAAAGAGAGCTAGAAGAAGGACCAGGGGAGAGAAAGAAGGCTTTGTTGAAATCAGTATTGCTACATATCTTTTCTCATTTTTTTGGTAACTTCAGCTTCAATTTTCTATAGTGTCATTGGGGTTGAAATGGACAACAGCAAGCAGAGCATTGCATTGTGAAGTACCTAATAGTTTCCCAAGCCTTCTCAAGTTTGTTATCTCATTTGATCGCAATAAAATATGGGTATCATTATCTATATTTTATAATTAAAGAAATGGAGATCCGGGGCTGGGGCTGTAGCTCAGTGGCAGAGCGCTTGCCTTGCATGTGTGAGGCACTGGGTTCGATTCTAGGCACCACATATAAATAAAGGTCCATTAACAACTAAAAAAATATTTTAAAAGAAAGAAAGAAACCAGAGACCTGGAGCTGAGATCTGGTTTGTCCAGACCTCATCTCAGGCCTCCAGATTTTTGGCCTGGTGATCTTTCCATTGCCTACACCCACCAACCTTATCTAGTTGCTATGAGCCAGGTCCCTCTTATTAAGTCTTCTGTTTTTAGGAATTCAGTCAGCAGTTCAGATTTTTTTTGTTTCTGAGGTCTAGACAATTGCATTTCTGGCAGTAAGGGAACAATATATATACATATATTTTAGAATAGAATGACTGTCCTTTTGTTTTTGTTAGTTTTTAGCTTACATGAGCCTCTAAGGGGACACCAACAACTGCATGAAATGAAACGCTTGGCTTACTGGTGCTGTTAGCATCAGAGAGGTAATTCACAACCTACCCTAAACTAGGATGGGCACCATTCCTGCTCTCATCTGTGTGCACATATAGATAAGGGAACCCCTGGGGTAAAGAAATCTAAAACATACAAAATTCAAGTTTGAAAAAACAAACAAACATGATTGAGTTTACCATTTATAGACTGAGGAAATTACATTTGCATTTCACAGTAAAAGATGAAATTTTCCAGAGCGCCACCATTTCTAAAAATAACTCTGCCATTCCCAGAAATGTCGTTAGTGTTTTGTTTATTAACATTCATTGTGTAGAGAGGCAGAATTACTCCTTCCTTTTAACCAGGCCCCCAAATGACAGCTATTAACTTGAGTACAAGAGAAAGGTATAACTGTTGCCTTAGAAACCTTCACAAAGCAACACTGGCTGCTCTTTTCAGCCGTGTTGGCTCTTGTGCCAGTGGCTCTGGCAGACAGTTTCCTGGAGAACTACTATGTCATGGTGGACTCCATAAGGTATTTAAAATCCATGTGGATTTTAGGTGGTGCTAGATATACAAAATATAACAGATACAGCAGGGAAATGGAGGATATTAGCTAGAAGACTCCAAAGAAATGCATTTTGCTTTTCATTCATATTTATGAATTCAGAATCCCTCCATTACTTGTATTCTTGAGTAACTAGGAATAAGTAAAAAAAAGTGTACAATATCATCTGTGGTGGAGATGGTGAAGGCAAAGAGAATTTTAAGGAATTCCATGATAAATTCATTTGCAAAGCAAATCATCTGTCACACACAGACATATGTATTTGTAAGTACAGATTTTGCAAATGCTAGATTTGTTTAAAGTGAGAGTGTTCCTATATCAAGAGCTGTAGATATCGGTTTTTTAGTAGATACTTTTCCTCTGTTAGCATTGTCACATTGGGGAGGGTGTTGTAGCTAAGAGTGGGAGGCAGTTCACATTAGCAGATGAGAGTGGGCAGGTGAAAATGTGGCAGCTATGTGCTAGATTTGCCAAAGAGATTTAAAAAAAAAAATCATCTAAAGGGCTGTTGCTAGAAAGTGAATCAGGAATATGCTTTGTGAAGTAAGTTCCCTGTTGCACAGGCTTATGGCTTGACATGTGTGGAACATTTAGTGCCATCTCACAAATCTTCAATGGCCACCTATTGCTCTTTATGGGGTGGCTGTGTGTGACTCAAATGCCCTCACTCTGCAGGTGGTATTCCAAGGTTCTATAAAACATTGGGACTATTAGGCACCTTCAAGGTGATTTATCTATTCCATCTCCTTTATTTTGGTTATGTAACTGACCCAAGGTGGCATAGCAATCTTGTTACAGTTGTTTTAGATCCAAATTCCCTGTCTCACTGTATAATGTCTTTCTCATTCTATCACTTTCACACTGGGGATGTTCAAGTGTAATTGGACTTCAGGATCTTTATATTTATTCTTGGTTTTCAGGGTTTCCTTCATGTAGATTCATAAACTCACAAACCAAAGCCATTTTATGAAAAGATGAAACTTTGTAGGTGGTAGAAATTGAAGATTTCCATCCCATAAGGGAAATGGGATGGGATCAGAGCCTTAAAGTTGTTGTGATCCAGATCCTTAAGGAAAATGGGGAAATGCAAGGATGTTACGTGGCAATGTGTGCTGGGCACTACTGGCTCTGTATTCACTACTCTATGGGTAATGTTAGCTGAAGTTGTATAACAAGGCACCTTAGAAGGACCAAAGCTACAGGTCAGTAGAAGTAGGGTGATGCAAAGAAGGAAGGACCTAGTATTGAGGAGATAACACCAAGATCAAGTCTGCCTGTAGGAGTTTTGCCTCAGAAATAACTTGGGGGTGGGGAGAAGATGGAGGATCCTTCAGGCTTTTCGTGCCAATTTTCTTCTCCTCAGACTCTCTTTTGATCTCTCTAATACTCATCAAATTCATAGCCAGCATTTTGCACACTGTAGATAATTTTGTGTGTTTTGGTGTGGGGGATACTAATATCATGAGGCTTTTAAAACACATTGAGTGATCTATAGCAATTTGCTGAATCAGCATTATGTGCACCATAATTTTTGTTGTAGGCACTGGCTCTTTACAAAATTTGAAAGTTTGATATTTTGTTTGCCAATCCAGGTATCTCATGAATACTTAAAAAGTGCACTTTCAGGGGCTGGGGATGTGGCTCAAGCGGTAGCTCGCTCGCCTGGCATGCGTGCGGCCGGGGTTCGATCCTCAGCACCACATACAAACAAAGATGTTGTGTCTGCCGAAAAAACTAAAAAATAAATATTAAAAAATTCTCTCTCTCTCTCAAAAAAAAAGTGCACTTTCAATGAAGGTGTATTGGAAACAGTTGCTCCTACCAGAGATTTTTGCATTTTAAAGAGTCTTATCTAGAGGGACACCTTCCAAACTTTTCTCAGCAGATGTAGACCTGTTGTCTCAGCACAGTGACTGGCCAGTGTAGCCCTGCACCAAAGTAGCGGGGATAGTTTCTGTTATTACACTTCTGTCATTAGCTGGTTCCAATAACAAGTACTTTCTAATAAATTGGAACATTTTTACTCTCTGGGTGAAAAACTGGTTACATATTTCCCAGACTAAACTGAAAGTAATGAAATAGTACACCCAGACCATCACTTGGGCACCATGATTAATTTTCACTTGTATTTGTCCAAAAATAGCACTTTAAAAAATCCAGTCAACTTGGCTGTACTAAAAACAACAAAACTTCAAAAGAAATGGTACTCACATCAAAAAACCATAACATAGAAACCTTGGCAAAAGTATATTCTTATAAAGTGATCCAAGAGCAATTCACAAATTAATTCTTTTTCTTGATACAAAAAAATGAGCAGTCATTTTATATGGCAAATTCCCTTGATATATTCTTTTGAACACTTCTTAGAATAAAAAACAACCCTCAAATTAGGTTTCATCATTTTTACCTTTGTTAATTATTTTCTACCTACACATAAAAGGCACAGAGAAAACTAGACAACACAACTAGATAATGCACCACCATTTCATTTGACTTCACTGTTCTCCAGACTAAGTCAGAGACAGAGTGACTGATAGGTCGAGGAATCTGTCTTCATCCTGGGAGACGGGCAGAATATTGTATTTCAAAGATAATTTATGAACTAGGTTATATACCCAAGTATTGTTAGAAGTGTCCTCTATTCTATTCTTTTGGGGTTCCTAGCCATTTTCTTTAATACTGTTCGTAGTGTCTCTCTACTTCTCTACTACCTACTGTAGGAAAGCCTGTTCTTTCTCACTAAAAGAGTTCATTCATTCTTAGAGCTTTAATTAATTGCTGATTAATTAATTCAAAATTGTTCTAATAATATTTTTAAAACATGATCACTATGCAAGAGGTTTGAGGAATGCAAATAATAACAATATTTGTAGCTAAAAATTCGTACTATGTGCCAAGTGATTTTAGGCAGTAGGTATAATAGTATTCATGACCTGGTGGGATTGATAAGAATGTAGACGGATGAGTATTCTGCAGCATAATTTCAACACAAATAATGGGAGTACAAAAGCAGGATGGATTGTGGAAATCTCAGGAGATAGGTAAAGTTTCACTAAAGAATTGAACCTTAAAGAATTGGTAGATTTTGGACAGGGAGAGAAGAGCTTACAGATCAACATGAGTAGAATAAAACCGGGGTGGTTGGGAAAGTTGTGTTCATGAGTGTGAAGTTGGGCTTCAGTGGAGAGGGACCTGGTACAGCAAAACTACAACCCCCATGTGGACACTCACTGTAAGAGGTCCAGCTGGAAAATTGTCAGAAGGTGTGCACATGGCTCAGGAGTAGACTGATGTAGAAATCGGGGAAGTCAAGATTGCCAAAAA